ATAAGCTGGTCAACAGCGGTGCGACGCGTGTGATCCTTATGTAATTGGCAGAGAAAATAGAAGAAACGAAAAGAAACTAAAGCCAGCTCATAGTTGCGTGTGACTAATGCAATCATATGGCTTGTATCCCAATCAACTGTATCATAAAATAACAGCCGTTATGCAAATCACAACAGCCCATGGTCTGAGATTCAGGAAGCCTTAGGACTCTCACATATTCTTCTTCCTTTGGATCCACCCACAAAATATATTAATTAAGACTCTTTAAAGAAGAACAGAGGCCAAAGCTACAGTTCTTGTCGAACATAATTTGACAAGTTGCCTCGTGGTTGGGGCTTTGGGTCTTGGCTCGCAAGGCCCATGGTTGATTCGCATCTATGGCAATTAATATCTCTAGGCATTGCAACACTCGTGCTACACATCGGTATGTCGACGGTGAAAGAGGGCCCCCCAGACTCCGAGATTTGCTTGCATTGGTTGGTACTGCACGAAGGTTCCTCGCACAAAAAGAAGAAGAAAAAACAAGGAAAAATGATACAGGCACACCCTCAGACACACCATCAACCACACCTCCTCTCTATCTACAATGGGCCCCACATCAGATTTTTTTTTTAAAATCTGATGTGGGCCCCCCTGCACTGTAAATAAAGAGGGGGTGTGGTTGTTAGTGTGCCTGAGGGTGTGCCTGTAGCGCCTCCCAAAAACAAGGCTTTATCATTTGTGAGTTCAATCATGCATCTCCAACATGTCAAGTTATTTGACAGCTACCAATGATTAGAGCAAATATGAAAGTACCAGACAAAAAGCAACTAAACCACCTTACACATTTAACACCTAGCCCTACAAGAAGCGAAAGGCCTAGCTAAAGTGAGCCTGAAGCAAACGTCGCAAGTCAAAATCAAGAACCCGGGTCCCCTCATTTTATACTTCAAAAGCTGATGGTGACAAACAATGAAAGATAAAAAAAGCACAAGCAGGATGTAATTAAGCGACAATGTTGACTAGATGACTTCTGAGCTCAACCAGGGAGTCATGGTAAGCTCTGGGCTGTATTTGGTTTGGAAAGAAAGTGACTGAGAGAGACTATGTTCAGTGTCTACAGAACAAGTTGCGAGAACTGATACCTAGGTTGACAATATAAAAATGATGATGAATCTAGGGAACATATATAGTCAAATGTTTCAGGACAGAAAACTTAGCAAGAGAAGATCTCAGACAAAGTATATATAATATGGTTTCCAGATGATAATCGTACCATTATGGTATTATTTCTTGCATTATATAATTGATTGTGAACGTTGAGATAAGCTTAGCCACAAGTCTGCAGCAACTTGCTCGGTTGATCAGTAGAGATTAATATCAGGTCGGCTGAAACTTTGATAAAGTCTGAACCTGTTCAAATGTTTTGGCAACTGGCAGCTCAAGCAACATCACAGAAACCAGACACCGATATACTTCGGATAGCGATCAAACCCCACTTTTAGATCGATGCTGACATTTCATTAACACACTTATTTTTGAGAGAATTTTGTGGATTTAAAAATTAGAAAACAGGTTGTTCATTTATTTACAAAGCCCGGAACCAAAGGCCATATATTCAACGAGGAGAAAAATGAAAAAGAAAACTTTCCATTCTTCATAATATGTTGAATATAATTTTATAGAAATTTATGATGTACTGCTCATGGATAAAAGAGTATCATTTATCCACATGTAAAGGCTAAAAGGCCTTAAACCCAAATAAATACCTGAGACAGCCATTTTATCCCCTCCATTAGCTTTTTTTTTCCTTCTTCTTAGGATGCCTTGAATGTTGCCTACACAGAATTCTCTACCTGCACTAAAATAAAAATGAAAACCAATCAGGTAGAGAAATCAAGGTGAAAAAATGAGTGGACAATATCATAATCCACCAGGAGGACAGCACATTATTTACAACACGAATAAATCGTTTTTAAGTAGAAATTCGGGTCAAAACTAGATGTTATATTAAAGCCCCATTTATACTTCCCATGGTTACGTGCAGGGTTTTGTCACGGGCTGATTCTTTCACCACAAACCTCACTCGAACCCGTGCGGCACTTAGTCACTCTTTCTCTCACTAGAATGGCTAAGTCAGCCTAATCCCTCAAACACTCACTCAAGAGAAGGGAAGAGAACACTCAAGAGTGGAAGTGGAAGCTCTTATTGCTTTATTACTTAGCAACTCTTGCTTGGTACAAAGGAAATGCCTTAGCCCCTATTTATAGGTGAGGCTAGATTACAATGAATGGCTATGATTAGCCTTCTAGATTGTTCCTACATCCAACGGTTAGGATTGAGTCTCTAGACCCTTCTCCTAAAATATCTCCCTAGATATTTACATGAGACTTTCCTTGAATCTTCTAGATACAAGATATTTGTCATATGTAAGAAAACTCTAGAAAACCCAAGAAACTTCATGGACCCAACCTTTAATGAGTGAGTCCAAATGCACCAAATTGAGCCAAAATGGGGCGGTTCGTGACATTCTCCCCCACCTATCCGGGCGATGCCCTCATCGCTTAGCCTTCTCTTGGCGGAACTTCTCGATCAAGTCTTCAAACTGCCACAAGGATCGCGCCGGTTCCCAGCTGTTCTCACTGTCGGGCAAGCCTTTCCACTTCACAAAGTACTCTAACCTCGGGTGGTTGTTGGCTTCACGAACCATCCTATCCGCAAGAATTTCTTCGGCCTCCTTGTCGAACTCCATGCGAATCCCGGCTGGCGCTCGACTAGACTTTCCTCTATCTGGATCTTCCGTGTCCTGATGATATGGCTTCAACATGCTCACATGAAAGACCGGATGATACTTCACGGTTGGGGGAAGCTTTACCTTATAAGCTACGTTCCCCACCTTTTTCTCGATCGGAAATGGGCTCTCATACTTGCGTATCAAGCTCTTGTGCCAAAAGAGAGAGTGCTAAAATTTTGTATGTGTGTTGTATTTGAGAGATTGAATATAGTGAAAGCCCCCTCTTGCCGTGGACGTAGATCAATTTGATCGAACCACGTAAATATTGTGTTTGTGATTGTTCTATTCTCTGGTTTAGTGGGTGATTTCCCCAACAAATTGGTATCAGAGCTTCTCGGTTCTAGGACAGCTTTCAATCCTCTACAATGGCTTCTGTGAAGTTCTCGGTGTCGATCTTTGATGGCCAGAACAATTTCGGCCTATGGAGGATAAAGATGAAGGCTTTGTTGCGACGTGAAGGCACGGTTAAAGCTATCGATGGGAAATACCCAGAAGATATGACTAGTGCCGAGATCGAAGAGATGGACGAAAAGGCTCACAGCGCCTTGCAATTGTCACTATCCGACAATGTGCTTCGTGAAGTTGCCGATGAGGAAACGGCAGCGGGGTTGTGGTCAAAGCTCGAAAGTCTCTACTTGAAGAAATCTCTTACTACGAGATTATACCTGAAGCAGCGGCTATACACACTGAAGATGAAGGAAGGTACACCCATTCAGGAACACCTTGATGAATTTAATAAAATTGTCATGGATATGAAAAACCTGGATCTTAAACTTGATGATGAAGACCAGGCTCTTATTGTGTTATGTTCCTTGCCTAACTCTTATGAAAACTTTGTTAACTCTATGTTGTATGGAAGAGAATCCATAAGTCTTGAGGATGTGAAGGCCTCTTTGAACTCTGCTGAGTTGAGAACAAAGTTGAATGGGAGAGGTACCGATGGGCAGGCTGATGGTCTGCTAGCCAGAGGTAGATCGAAGGCCAGAGAAGGTGATAAAGGGCAATCCAGAAATCGCTCAAAGTCCAGGTCAGCCCCAAATAAGAAAAATGTGGAGTGTTTCTACTGTCACAAGAAAGGGCATTACAAGTCAGAATGTTATGCTCTAAAGAAGAAAGACAACCAGCGTGGTGAAACATCAGATTCAGCTAATACGGCAAAGGTTGATACTGCCGTTGTTGCTGAGACGGTTCTTACAGTATGTCCCTTGGATGGCCGTTCCGATAAAGAATGGATCTTGGATACAGGTGCGTCTTTTCATATGTGTCCAAATAAAGATTGGTTCACTACTTACAAATCTATAAGTGGTGGATCAGTTTTGATGGGCAACAATACAGTTTGCAAGACAGTTGGCATTGGTACAGTTCGCATCCGGTGTCACGATGGGATAGTGAGAACTTTATCAGATGTGAGACACATCCCAGACTTAAAGAAAAATCTGATTTCTTTGAGTTCTTTGGATTCTATTGAGTGTTCTGGGTGTTCTTACAGTGGTGGAGATGGAGCTCTTAGAGTTACTAAGGGTTCATTGGGGCGAAGGTGGAGCTCTTAGAGTTACTAAGGGTTCATTGGTTGTGATGAAAGGTAGTAAGGTGAACAGTCTTTATGTTCTCCAAGGCAGTACGGTGACAGGCTCTGCAGATGTGTCTTCTGATGCTGATAGAGACACTACTCAGTTGTGGCACATGCGCTTAGGCCACATGAGTGAGAAGGGGATGACTATTTTGAGTAAACGTGGCTTACTCTGTGGTGATCATACATCATCACTGGATTTCTGTGAGCATTGTGTGTTTGGGAAGCAAACTCGGGTCAGCTTCTCGACTGGCTCACATACGACGAA